TCGGCAGAGGCACAGACCACTGCAGCCGGCACCAGCGGGGAGGAGAGACTGCTGTGATCATGCATTCCCCCGCTGCCCCCCTGTACCATCGGCTGCTGCCCCGTTCCTTCTCTGGCCCCCGTGCCTCCGCTGCCTGCCATGTTCCTCCGTTGCCCACCCCGTTCCTACTCTGCTACTTTCTCCTTCAGGTCCCTCCACTGGCAGTGGGCGGGGTGCAATAGCCAGCCTGTTATTGGCTAGTGCAATTTGAAAAAGCAGGCTGGCTATTGCTCCCAGCACTGAGGTAAAAAAAAGAAAATAAAAAGTTAAATAAACTAAAGTGAACCCCCCCCTTTAAATAAAAGTTTGGTTATTTTATTATATTTGCTTTGAGTTTTACAATTCACATTATTTTAAATCCGTGAAACTAATTAAAATGTCGAATACCTTGGTTCTCAACTGGTGGGTCGCGACCCCGTGTTCAGTGGGTCGCCGCATGGCTTTCACTTTTCTAGGTGAGAGGCTCCTTAGCCTCCCCCCTACTGCAGCACTGTCAGTTCTTGCACAGAGTAGCCATTCAAAATATGTTGCTCAATGCTGAGTGTCAGCTTGAGTTGGGCTAGGGCTATGGCCGCAAGGGAGCTCCATCCATAAGTGCATTGGTTTACAGTAGAGCTGCAGCTAACGATCATTTTCAAAATCGATTAGTTAGCCGATTATTGAGTTCGATTAATCGGATAAAAAATAAAATACATTTTAAAAAATTGCTGGTAAAGCAGATCATGCCTGGGTTTATTATATTAAGATAAATATTCTAAACAAAGTTTCAACATGAAACAAGTTCCTCTTATATTACTTTATCTAGATGTGCTTTAACTCTTTTGCTGCCAAGGTGGTTTTTGCACAAGTTATAATCCACATTTTAGGCCTGAAAATTTCCCGCCCAGAATGCGGGGGGAAGTTTCTTGCCGATCGTGGTGCGTTCCAGCAGCTACCGCTCTGGAAGGCACACGCTTTCGGTGTGAACAAGCCCTAACCCTTTCGCTGCCAACAATGTATGCTGTATTTGCAACCACAATCGGTGGATTGCTATGTGACGATGTTGCTGGTCTGGTAATTTCTGGTCTACAGTCTAAAGCTGGCCATACACCTATAGATTATCTGCAGATTCTCTATGGTCAGAGGGAAAAAGTGCAACAGATTCCTTCATCTGTGTGGCTGGAGGAATCTCCCACTGGACCCAGCTTGCTAGTCGGCCCCACTGGTTCTCAAAATACCGGCACAATGCCTGCATACAATCAGATTGTTCAGGTATTTTGACAGCCAACGGGAGCCGACTAGCAACATACTGAAGCTTGGCCCAGTGGGAGATTCCTCCATCCACGCAGTTTAGCGTAGATGGAGGAATCTGTTGCACTTTTTCCATCTGAAATTTTGCAGATAATCTATAGGTGTATGGCCAGCTTTAGTCTGTATCATTCCAGGGTGATTTGGATAGGAAAGAATTTGACTTTGATTCTGGTTCAGATAGTTCATTGGAGGAAGGAGAGACCTTAGATGAACATGTGGAATCTCGGCCTACTAGACATCTATTCCCTTTAGAATATATGGACTACTTATTGCAAGCCATAATGCTACTGAGCAGATACCGGATCCACCGAAAGCAGTGTCAGTACAGGACAGAGTTACATAGTTACATAGTTACATAGTATTTGAGGTTGAATAAAGACATTAGTCCATCAAGTCCAACCTATTAGGATCTCATTCTAGGAGTACCTGTACCCCTGTATATTACGGTCCCTTAAGAAATCGTCCAAAAGTTTCTTGAACAATTCCACATTCTTTGCTGAAATCACTGTCTGTGGCAGTGAGTTCCAGACCCTAACTGATCTTACTGTGAAGAACCCCCTTCGCCCCTTGTGCTGGAATTTTTTTTCCACCAATTTTAGGTGGAACAAAGGTCTTGTAGAACCACAAGGAAGGGTTTTCCCAATTCATCATTTTTTTAAAGAACTAGTTGCAGGAGAATGGTAAAAGCTAGAAAGAGAATTATTAGGATTTAGATCTTGGAAGAGAAGATTTCACTTTGGTTAAGAGAGAGGAAAATATTTTTAACGTCCTAAATTAGATGCAGCCTTAGCGCAGGTTTCCAAAAAAAACTGAATATAAAAGATCTAATGGATCGTAAGGCGGAAGCTTTGCTGCGTAGAGCCTGGGATGCCAATGCTGCTTCAATGGCCCCAACAGTAGCAGCCACATGCGTTGCCAGGAATATGGATTGATGGCTAGAGGGAGCATCCATGGATATTTCTCCACGACAGACGCACATATGCAATATGCCTAGGTGTGACCCAGGCCTAAGTCTTGCGATGGTTGTAAAGTAATTTAAAAAAGTACGATCTGCCCATCTTGGGCAGTGTGCACACCGGCCGTTCAGCATTTGTCTCCCGAGCACCGTTCAAACCAGCCGAAAATCGTACGATTCTAGCGGGCTCCCCTAGACAAAAGACGTGCGACCGTACAGTAAAAACGGTCGCATGTCTTCCATACACTGTGTGTTTATCGTACGATCGTGGGATTTCCCGCGATTATCGTGCGATAATCGCACAGTGTATGGGCACCTTTAGCCAGGTCTTCTGAAAAGGGGAAAAAAGTTCCGGAGAAAAAGATGGGAATTCAATAGATTTTTTTTTTTTCATCCCCCTCAGGAACTCTAATAGCAAAACAATAAGCCCCAAGTCCAAAAGAAGAGCTGGCCTTTTAATAAAAACAAAGCTAGAGGAAGACTGTTATTTTTTGCCCCTGAATCCTCCAATAAGGATTTTAAATTACGCCACCAGAAAAGTCGGGGAGGGCGGGGGCTTTCTGTTTGTATCCCGTTGGGAGAAAATCCTTTGAATCATTAAAATGGTGGGTTACCATCTAGAATTTCTAACTCTGCCCCCACAAACATTCTTTCTAACTAAACTACCAAAGGATCAGATGAAAGTTTCAGCTTTGAGAGATTGTATACTAGGCCTTGCCTCACAGAATGTGATCGTGCAAGTTCCCAAAAATCAGCAATTTCAGGGCTTCTATTCCCATGTTTTTCTGGTGCCAAAACCAGGGGGCAGTTTGGAGACCCCAGGCGACTACATAGGCATACTTGGACTTATAGTCCTTGGTGACCTCTTGCTGGGACTAGAAAATCCCCTGGTGAGTTTCCAGGCTTGCTGAGACTTGTGTTCCTCTGGAGACCATAAGTATACTGGGGCAGGTCCCACTCCCAGTATACCTTGTGGTCTCCAGAGGACCACAAGTCCCATCATGCCTGTCGGGTCACCTGGGGACTTCTAGTCCAAGCATGTATGTGTGGTCACCTGTGGTCTGCAGGTCCTAGTATACTTGTGGTCTCTGGAGGAACATAAGTTCCAGCATGCCTGTGAGGATACCAAGGAGGACTACTAGATTAGGGAATATCCTTTTTATTTTATCTTCATAAAACCTGCTGTGTACTTTTTTTTTTTTTTTAACTTTTATTTGCAGAGTATTGCATAGAAACTTTGAATAATTTTTTAGCTTGTGCAGCTCTACCTGGTTGACTGGCTGTGCTCTATGTGCCTCTGCTTCAGTTTCCTCCTCCGTGCCTGCAGGAATTATGTGACAGGCAATGGTGAAGGAGATCCCTCAGCAGAGGAAGCAGCGCACAGGACATAGGCTGGGGACTTGCTGCTGCTAAGACATCGGGCAGGCTGCTCTCCCTTGAATTTTGTGACAGGCAACAGGGGAGGAGGAACAAAGGACACCGCTACAGGACACTAGCTTCTTACCCTTGAATATCGGCAATACCAGTAACATGAATATCTGCTAATTATTGCAATGGTGATTATCGGCCTTGCAGATAATCGGTTGACCCCTAATAAGCACACCCGACGCATTTGTTTCTATTCTTATGTGCATGTATTTTTTTAGGGGAGGGCGGGTTCATTAAAAAATTTTTAAAACTTTTATCTTTACACTTAACTTTATTGGTATAACGATGAATAAATGTTCAAAAGATGGGATAAGCAGTAGAGGTTAGCACAAGCATTTGCTAGTAAAATGTCAGAGTTTCCATTTATGCACAGCAGACAAGACGGGATGCTTTAAGCAGAGAAAAGGTCATGAGAAGATGATAAAGATGATGCCGTGTTAAAGAAGAACTTTACCCATATCTTCAAAATAACAACAAAGGCACCTTTTAGAAATGTTTAGTAATTAACAATCTACAGGCTATTTATTCTTTGCATACCTTATTCTTCTTTTCTTCCCTAGTCTTCTGACAGTGGCTATATTAACTAAGGACAGGTTACTAGATCTCTTTACCTCCTGGAACTCGGCACATGTGACCCTAGTCGGGAAAAGATCCACTTTTTCCACTTCCTGGTCCACTTTGGCACAAATTATGTAATTGTGCCCAATAATTGCATCCTGGAAAGGTTGCATCAGCAGTGTATTGCTGGGAAATCCCATCTGTAATCTCACGAGATCTCAGGAAAAAGCATTTTCTTACCGAGATGATGAGCATGATCACGTCCTCACATCTCAGGGGAGGAAAATGCCTTTTCCTGAGATCTCGTGAGATTACAGATGGGATTTCCTAGCAATGCACTGCTAATGCAACCTTCCCAGGATGCAATGCTTAGGCACAATTACATAATTTGTGCCAAAGTGGACCAGGAAGTGGAAGAAAAGAACTTGCAAGTAAAATTAAAATGTTTTTTTAGCGAACGGATGTTTAAGATTTCATATCGGCATGAAGAGCTGTATGCTAATGTGATTTTTAGTCAAAGGGGGTAAAAGTCCACTTTAAAGTGCCTGATACTTATTCACCAATCCTGCCCAAGCATCATTATTGCATAACTATGTCTATCTCCTGGCTAATCCAGTGTTTTTCAGTTTAAATAATTTATTGCACTTGCATGTTAACCAAATTGAGATAGTTTGGCACACTTTGTGAAAGTAGGTCACTGTGTGACATGTTCGTTCTTTCTTTCTCCTAGTTTTGGCATAAAGCATGTTTCCACTGTGACATCTGCAAGATGACCCTGAACATGAAGAATTACAAGGGATATGACAAGAAGCCATACTGTAGCGCGTAAGTGGCAGTTTGATAATTTTGTTGTGTTCTACAACTTACAGCTTGGTACTTCTGTGCAATAAATAAGGGCCTTGATGGCTGCATTTATATGACAATTGGGTTAGTCCACTAAAAAGCATCCTCCTCCCTCTGTGTTCACTGGGTGCTTTTCAATGAAATAGTACATAGGTGTACTAATCATGGCCTCAAGTTAACCTGTCATGAGTGAAAAAGAGGTATGTCATTTCTGAACTTATCCCAAAATGCTAGTTGTTTGGCTTTCATGTTGACTCTCCATTGCTTTCTCTGACATGGAACTAGTGTGCCAGAAAGGAAAGTCAGAATAAAGACAAATGCTTAAATTTGTATTTTAAGGAGTGATCAGCAATGGAAATATCCATGTTTTCTAATGACAGGAACAGGAGAGCTAGATCTGGAGCCAAAATACATTTGTGTGGACAAGAGTACACAGGTATTTTATGTATTCCTTCTGGCATAAGTTTGTAAATAATTTTTACAGATGTAGAATACAATGAAGGGAATTTATCAAAACCGGAGAAGACAAAATCTGGAGCAGCTGTTCACGGCAACCAATCCAGGTTCTCTCAATCTCAACTGAACAAACCGGTGGGAGGTTGATTGGTTGCCATGGGCAACTGCTCCAGATGTTGTATGCTCTTGTTTGATAAATTCCCCTCAGTCTTCTGGATTTTATGGAGCAGTAAACACATTTAGGGATCTGTTTATAAAACAGAGCACGCGATTATTGCTTTTGGAATGCTTAATGTTATTTTGCTTTTATTCCTCCATAAAAGTAATTGAGAATGTGTTGCTAACTGACTTGGTGTACATCTCATATGTGTTTGACTTGTTTCTGCGTTCAAAGCCCAATATATACGAACCCTTGCTTGCCAAAGCATTTGAAGTTCTGTTCATTCACTCCTTTTGATTCACACTGCCATGGCACACTATATAGCTAGACAAAGACCAAACAATTTAGAATCTGCTTCTTTGTATGTCGCCCACTTACTTACCATCATGAGCATTGAACTACATATGCTTTACACCTCAGTGGTAATATCATCTATGTGCTTTTTCTTTTTTTGTATGCTGCCTTAAAGGAGAACGATGGGGTCAGTGTTTTTCCCCATAGTTCTCCTTAGTGTAACGGGATGACACAAACTAGCGTCCTCCCGTTTCCCTAAGCTCAGTATACTGCGAGCTACAGCTCGCGGTATACTGAGACGCCGGAGCGGACCTCGACGTCGAGATCCGCCCAGCTGCGTGAGTGACAGCTGGCTCTGCCTATCTAGAGGCAGAGCCAGCTGTACCCGCCCCTCCCCCGTCCGTTCCGCCAGTCAGCGCTGGCAGATCGGAGAGGGGAATCCAGCCCCTCCCCCTGTCACAGCAGAGAGCGGTGACAGGATCGAGAGGTGAGCGAACCCGGTATGTGTTCGCTCGCCTCCCGATCTACTGAGCCGACCTGTGACAGTCTCATTGTCACAGGTCGGCTAGAACTATGAGGTGAGTGGAAATCACTCATCTCCATAGTTCTCTAATACCCTCAGCATCCTAAACATATTAGGAGCACGTTGTAGTGCTGTGTAGACTGGCTCGCAATGCTGGTCTTCTCCCCTCAAAAGTATTTCTCTTTCGTTCATTGAATGACACAGCAGAGATCTTGGTCTCTGTTCCGATGGGTTATACCGCCATCTGCAGGAGCAGGATGCGAAGCACAAAACAGCTCAGCTTTGTGGCGGCTCCTGCTGGTGGCCACACCTCTATCCAAGGCAGCTCAGTTTTTTGCCTGGAGTCAGGTCCTTACTCCTTATCTTCCTGCTGAGGGATCTTTTTTCCTATTTTTTTTTTTTTAATCCCCAGTAGGGTATTTTTTTTTATTTTCTCTTCGCTTTTCGTTGACCTTCAATTGACAGCTGAGCTGGATGACTGGCCTGGATAATATTGATCCTTGTAGTCTCCCCAGCTTAGCGATCGAGCACATGCAGTTCTCTGCATGAGAGAGCGATATCCACTGTGACAGCCTTGAGATACTTGAGCTGCCTTGAGATACCTCACAGGGAGATGCATATGACCAACCTGCCATTGGGCTGGTTTGTCACAGTATCTCCTCTAGGCTAACAGGATTCCCATCTTGGTGGGAGACTTTCTGTTTGGGGAAATGGTACTCTGACATACTTCGCCTGACAGGTACGTGATCTAGCTGGTAAGTATGGTCCCCTTTATTTCTACACTTAATGTTGTCTGTGGGGAGGACTATTTGGGCACTTTTTCCCCCTGGCTTTGAGGCAATGCTGCTTCTCATGCAGCAGCTATGTGATTACCTTTCTTTTTGACTTTTTACACAATTTACAATGTTAAGAAGCAGCCACTGTGTATGTCAGAGGCAGAACTTTTTCTATGAAAGAGTGGCACTGATTCCCACCGGCTTCCCACTCAGCTCTTGATACCGGAAGTTCTGGTATCGGGATAAGTATCCGGCGTACTAGCCCAAATATTCGGTATTGGCACCTATACTCGTATCGGTGTATCCCTAGCGACAATTCACACTTCGGTACTAATGGTACTAATGGTTTCCTACTTTGAAGCAGTTCCATGTGTCACATCAAGAATTCTGTAGAGAGAGATTCTTCAACAATGGGACAATTCAGACAAATGCAGGAGAACTGGACGGTCAAAGCATCCTCGGCTTGGTTGCTCACTTCCTTGCTCTGATGAACGGGAGGTCATTTCTTCCAATTCACTGGAAGATGTAAACAGACACCAGTCTCACCGGCTGAGGCGAAGTGGCTGGTCGGTTGTTAACATAGGAGCTCTGGTCCAAGGACCAGGCCAATCAATGTTAGTTGCGGGCGATCACACTCTCCTACATTAGACAACTCTACTACAGGGGTACCCAGTCAGGATTCAGTCAGACAGTGCCATTGTGGTAGCATATGTCAATCATCAATGAGGAGCCTAGGGGCAGCGCAGACCTTTCTCCTTTCGTGTAACAAGCTCCCTCTGATCCCCTGTTACACAGGCATGGCGCTGATCCCGGGCTCGCACCGGGCACAGCAGAGCCGGGGATCAGCGGGACAATGGCGGGGGGGACAGCGG